GGCGCTGGAATCTGGGGGACACCTCCAAGATACCAGTGACATCACACCCGGTAGGAAGAGCAATAAATGAACCACTTAACACCCAACCAATTATTGACGTATTATTCCATGTTATCTCTGACAATGCATATGATGTAATTTTGCTTTATAAGGGGCATGCCGTCCCCCCAGAATAAACATTCCTCAAGTTTTTCATTAACCCGAAACCTGTGTCTGGTGTGAATTACTTTAGGAGCGTGCACGCATTACTGCTTTAATTTGGCCGGGGGGAGATACACAAGATAATCAATTAATTGATTGATTCCACATCAAAAACAATAAAGACGTTTTTTTTTTCCCAACACTCTAGATATCTTTATGCAAAGCGTGAGGACGTCCAGCGTCGGTGCACGGAGTCAAACTTTGATACTGATAGATATATTCTTTTTGTAGTATTCGTGTGTGTTTTGTCAGGATTGGTCTGACGCAGACACATAAACCTAGGGATATGCAAAGTGGCCATGCTAGCACTGAGATTAGTCAGAAAGTCTGCAAGACACAGAATAAACGGTAATAAGCAGGAATTACAGAGGTACACAAACAAAAAGAAGCCAAGAGCAGGATTTCAGAGATCAAGAATGGTCAGATCAAGAACGGTCAAACAAGCCAAGGTCAGAAAACAGAATAATAAGTAATATATAACGCATTATCTGGTAAATAGAAACCACGGCGGGGCCAGGAAACAAGGACAACCAGGAAGTATATATAGCCTGTACTGGGCTGTGATTGGTTACACAGGGCTATGATGTCAGATGTGCACATCATCAAAAAGCACCACAAAGACTGACATAATAACAGGAGATCAATGGGAGGGTTCCATGTCATAAATGATGTAGTAATGAGGCACCAGGAAGTTAGAGATGAATGGATGTTCGTCAGAATATAGAAGAGACATCACTTCTGGATATCAAACGGCACCACGAAGGGACAGGTATTAAGACACATGTGAAGTATTGTACGTTCTTAATGATCTACACATTCATTCTCTATTGTTGGACACTGGTTAGTCTTGCTTCAGTTGTCTGGATGTACGCTGACATTCTCTATCAATATTATCCATTCCATTCTAGTTCCATACCTTACCTCACCAGGAGATCAGCAAAAAATACTTTAACGATTTACCGATCCACGCTCTCTTCCATTACACGACAACCTTAAATGACCTATCGCCGATCCTCACACCCTCAACATGATCAAACTCAAAATTGTATGCAATTTTTTTAAACAAAATTTCAACTATCGGAGCCTCCTTTCCAATTCAGGTCCTACTTACCTATTCTAGAATCTCAATTAATGTTGTTCTAGGTTCCATAATGTAATTTCATATTCCCTTATTTTTTCTAAGCGTCACTAACAGATTTCTCTTTTTCACCATCCTGAACGTACTTTAACAAACGGTGCTGCCTGCAGCCACCTCAACGTACACTGGTCTACTCATTTTCCTCATTTTTAACAAAAAAAAATAAAGACAAACTGTCTTTCAGTCACTTAACCTTTTAAGTTTCAAATTCTTTCTCATACAAATCCCTCTAGAATCTTGCACCTCCTTTCCTCTTACCTCTCATCTCCTATTATATCACTAATCACCCCTCTACTTCCTCACCGCCATAATCATTAGTTACTCCCCACCTATGAGCACCTGCCCATTTCTACTCATTCTGACTGCATGCCCTCTACTTCTGGTACAAACTCCCCACTCACAAATCTTTTCACACACTTGAAACAAAGCACTATTAACTAAAAGCCTTTACTGAGTCTACGTAAATCAATCCTTTAGTGCCTGACACCAACACGCAAACCTAGGTCTTAGGCAAGGAAAGTAGGAGTACCGGTCCTTAGAGCACTGAGATTATAGTCAGAAAGTCTGTAAGCAGACACAGGATAAACATTATCAAGCCGAGGTCAGGGATTATAGAGGTACACAGAAACAAGTCAAGGTCAGGGTTTCAGAGATCAAGAATGGTCAGAGAAGCCAAGGTCAGAAAATGGAATAATAAGTAAAACATAACGCACTCCCTGCTAAACAGAAACCACAACATGGCAGGGAAACAAGGACAACCAAGAAGTATATATAGCCTGTACTGGGCTGTGATTGGTTACACAAGGCTATGATGTCAGATGTGCACATCATCAAAAAGCACCACAAAGACTGACATAATAACAGATCATCAATGGGAGAGTTCCATGCTATATATGATGTCATAATGAGGCATCAGGAAGTTAGGGATGAGTGGGCGTGCATCAGAACACAGAAGAAACATCACTTCCGTGCTCACAATACGCCACGAGGGACAGGCATTGCGACAGTTAATTTCTGTTCTGCTCATTTGACCATATTGCCTTCTCTTTTTATTTCCTTCTTACCACCAGCTTAGCTACCATCGAGAACCTACTGATTTAGATCTCAGACAAGTCCGAATTCACATCTTTGAAAGTGATTTATTTTTTTCAATTTCATGCTATATTCCTACAGAGCACCGAAATCATGGAACGACCTCCCACACACTTTCAAATCTTCCCCAAGCCTAAAATCCTTTAAGGGATCCCTCTCTACATATCTCAAAATAGAATGCACCAGTCATTATTATTATTATGTTATTATTTATATAGCACCATCAAATTCCGCAGCTCTTTACAATGGGTGGACGAAGAGACATGTAGTTGTAACCAGACAAGTTGGACACACAGGAACAGAGGGGTTGAGGGCCCTGATAAATGAGCTTACATGCTAGAGGGAGTGGGGTAAAGTGACACAAAAAGTTAAGTATAGTATTAGACTAGTGACAGTTGCAGACGAGGAATCAGTCAGGAGCTATTAACAGTTTAATTGATACGCTTTTATGAAGAAGTGGGTTTTTAACGATTTTTTGAAGGAGTGGAGACTGGGTGAGTATCTAACGGAGGAGGGAAGCGAGTTCCACAGGAACGGTGCAGCCCTCGAGAAATCTTGAAGGCGAGAATCAGAGGACGGACAGAAGATAGACGTAAGTCTTCAGCAGAGCGTAAGGGCCTAGACGGGACATACTTGTGTATAAGGGAGGATAGATAGGTGGGAGCAGCATTATATAGCGATTTGAAAGCAAGAACCAGAATTTTTAATTGAGTTCTATATTTTATAGAAAGTCAATGTAGGGACTGACAGAAGGGTGAGGCATGGGAGGAGCGGGCGGACATGAAGATGAGCCTCGCTGCCGTACTCATTATGGACTGTAACGGCGCAAGTTGGGAGCACGTAAGACCACTGAGAAGCGGATTACAGTAGTCAAGGCGAGAAAGGACAGTGGAATGGACCAACACCTTAGTCACATCTGGTGTTAAGTAGGGGCGGTCATGTCATGGTTGATTATATATTTCCTACCTGTTCTATGTTAAATTTTGTATATATTGTGAATTAATATTGTTTTTGTATTTTATTGTATCATAATGTATCAATGCAATGTTTCGTAGACCCAGGACATACTTGAAAAGGAGAGAAATATCAATGTATCGTTCCTGGTAAAATATTTTAGAAATAAAAATAAAATTTATAGTTTCTACCATATTTATAGATTCTGATTTTAGTTTATGACTTACTAGTAAACTGTGTAAATCACTTTGGATAAGTGCACTACACGGGTAAAGGCAGAGTAGCTAACAGAAGTGCATGCTGATCGTTAGAAGGGCTGGGCTAGCGCCAAGCCAAGGTAGGTGGAATGTCTGCAAAGAGAGAATGAACAACAGGTAGAGGTCAGAGGAATACAGAAAAGCACAAATACGAGGGATAAGCCAGAGTCCACGTTTCAGAGGTCAAGAGTAATCAAACAAGCCAAAGTCAGAACCAGATAGGACAATCCATTGTACAGCGCTACAGAATTTGCTGGCGCTACATAAATAATAAAATAATTTTAAAAAAAACTAATAATACTCACAAGGTTATTTATTAAAATGAAAATTTAAACTTAATTTCAAATTTAAGGCCATAGTTGTCAAACTAAAAATTCCATAAAAATGGATAAAAATTCCAGTTTGACTTTATTTTGTTTTTGGCAGGACAACGGCGAGATAGAGCAGGTATTCGTACAATAGGAAATACAAAATAATTTGTTTGCATGGCAAATTCGTTTAAAAAGTAAATTTGTTTTAAAAACATTTAGCACTCAAGCTGTGTAAGGAGTTAAATTGACAAAGCACTGTATATGATGATCCTGTCAAATTAATGGATTCCTAGGAATATGAAACGGATATGTAATCGGATATTAAAGCTCAGTTTGCGGACTAGAATAGAGTAGACCTTCAAATTTGACCCTATTACATAGAATTGAATATCATTTTAGAAAAACAGATTATCTGATTGGTAGATTTCGTTTTAGATTTATCAGGGATTGCAGAACATGAAGTTTGTGTAGCTGTGTATAGTATAGAGGGTTATGTAAATATAAAGCCTCACACACTAGTTAATATAAAAAAAAATGAAAAAAAAAGCAAATTACACAGTGAATCAGCAGATTATGAGGTCAACGGAACTTTAGACATGAATTATGCAGTTGTGCAGACAAGACAGTTTTGGCCTTGGTACAAAGTAAATATTTTTTCCAGTAAAATGCACAGCAGACTAGAATTTCTATGAAACAAACAGGAAGAGTAACTGCACAACCAATAGGTTTCTTAATTTATGTGGACGCATTCTGGAAAACCCAATTGCAGACCCTTTGCTTTCTATCATTTGACTCCTTTAATACATGAGCGATCACTGTATTCCCTGTTCTTAAAAAGAGAGAACAGTAATTTCCCTGAAAATTGTATTATTCAATAAAACATTTTTTTTAAATTTTATTCATGTGATGTTCAAATGTATTTAAAGGAGCTCTATAAGGTCAGGGACGCAAACATGTATTTCTGACCCTATAATGTTAAAACCACCATCTAGCCCCCCATGTCCCATCTTGCCTCCCTGAATATAGTAAAATCTTATGTCTATTCAAGTCTGCAGCTTCTGGCTCTTCCCCGGTTAGCCTGTGAACTTCTGCTGCCTGCTGACATCATCAAAAGTGGTGGTCTGAGCCAAACACAGTGCTTCCCCATAGGATTGACTGAGTCTTTTTTTTTTTTTTTTTACTTTATTTTTGAAAGAATAACAAAGCCAAGACAAAGACATATGACATAGTCAAAGCATAAAATAGACATTGCCAGTGTTGCGTTATGGAAGGCACGATGCTCAGTATGTAAGCCCAGTGTCACGCCTTGTAACAGGTAAGTTAGTCGGCAGACCAGTTTGTCATGAAGCCTTCATCTCCTCACCTATAATATTATTATGTTGTCACAACGTAATTTTCAACTTTGAACTTTGGGGCTGTTCCACAGTCCCAGTAACTAGTGGAAGGAGTAAGTAGAAAAGTAGGAAAGAAGGAGGATAGAGGAAAGGTAGAAGAATGGGGTCATCAGGGCATAAGCTGCTATTACCAGTTAGCCCAGATGTACTATCTCTGTCCCAAAGGGGTCCTTCCAGAATCTGTTAATTAGGTGTGTGTAGTGCTGGAGAAGGAGGTATACTACTTTCGATAAGTGCCTAATGAACCATGCCTATCCTGCGTTACATGTGGCGCAATGCCAAAAGGATTGACTGAGTCTTAAGGAGGCAGATCAGGGGCAGAACCAGCACAAGTCAAACACAGCCCTGGTCAATCAGCAATTCCTCATAGAGATTAATTAAATCAATGCATCTCTATGAGGAAAGTTCAGTGTCTGCAAGCAGAGAGTGGAGACACTGAATGTCAGTCACACTGTGCAGCACTGACCCAGGAAGCACCTCTAGTAGCCATATGAGGAGTGGACAGCAGAGGTAGTCCTAGGCTGTATTGTAAACACTGCATTTTATTTGAAAAAACTGTGTTTACTGCAAAAAGCCTGAAGTGGGGAAAAGCCAAATATCAGACTTATACCTCATGATTGCAACACATACGACCTCCATCTCCCTCCCATATATCACAGCCTGGGAGGCAGACCTGGGACCACCTGAGGACGCAGAAGACTGGTCAGATATATGGGACGCTATATCATCCATCACAATTTGTGTAACCTACAAGGAACAAGCATACAAAATGCCTTTCCGATGGTACACGACTGGCTATCATGCATTGCTTGCCCACAAATCTATGTTGGAAACAATGCAGGGCAGTGGCAACATTTCTCCACTGCTAGTGGACATGTCCCAAACTAACACCAACCTGGCAATTTATCACATCCCTCCTCACAAGAATTTTAGACAAACCATGCCCACTAGATCCTTGGGCACTACTACTATCCAAGCCACTGGACACTTTCACAAGAGCCAAAAATAAACTAATAGCACGAGTAGTCCTGG